GAAGATATGCAAATTAGCTCTGTACTTGCATACCTTCTTTCGGCAAAAGAAAGCAGTTGAGATGTAGCCTGAGGAATGCTGCTCTTTATGTATCCTTTGGTAGTCTTAACATTTTCTCCAAACCAAATTGTGTTTCGTAATTAATGTTTTAAATTCTCCCTTTCCTTCCATTCCCCTTTCTCAAACATTTATTTTTAAAATTAATATGCACTCTCTAATGATGCACTTATGAAAGGTAGGTACCATTTCCAAATGAATATTGTCTGCAATTTTATGTAAGTGGATGCACACTAAGCTTTCAAATGACAGAATGCAAAAATAGACAGATAAATGCATAGTATTACTCATGTAACAGATTTCTAACTCTTGTTGTTCTTACCTTCCAGCCAGTAACACTATAAGTCTTTCCAGCACTTCCTATAGTTATTGTTCTTTCCCACATGCCTGGCAAAGTAGCTGTACAAAAAATGAAGCGACATGATTGCCAGTGAACATACATGTTCCATACAGTCATAAAACCTGTATTGTTCCTAGCTAAAAGGGGTGGTATTTTAATATATTATTATAACAAAGAAAAAAAAGCAAGGAGAAAAAATCTAAAATTAAATTTAAAAATGGAGAAATGTATTTTGGAATAAAAGTTTGGCAAGAATCAACAAAAGAAGAAAGTTCAAGAATGGGGCAAGACACACTGGGGCTATGTCTAGACTGCAACCCTCTGTCGACAGAGAGATGTAGATTAGGCACATCAAAATTGCTAATAAGCAGGTATTTAAATATCCCGCACTTCATTAGTATAAACGTGGCCGCCACTTTTTTTTTAAACTGAGCTTTTTTGAAAAAATTGGCAGTCTAGATGTGGATCTGTCGAAAATAAACCATTTTTCGACAGATCCTGTATTCCTCAAAAAATGAGGTTTACAGGATCTGTCATTCAATCCTTGTTCACTCTGCTGGTGCTGCCATTAGGAATGTTAAATGGTGTCAGTTGTGGTGACTGAGCCATCCACACCCCAAAACATCTACTAAAGCTAACTCAGCAACTCGAAAAATATCTATCGCTTGAGAATTCATTTTGAACTGAGTGAGAGTGGGTGAAAGAAAAGGCAATGAAGTAGTTTCTCAGCTGTCACTGGGTAACAACAAAATCCAAATAATCATCCTGGGATTGATTACAATGTATCTCAAAATCCATAGTATCTGCCAGTCTTCGCTACAGTTTATAAATACATCGGAATAGCTGAACTGTTACAACTACTACTGAGGCTCATAGCCGTAACTAAGTAATGCAGAGTTTGAGGCTTCCAGTAGCCAGCCAAAGTGTTTATAGCACCTTTTAATATCTCTAGAATTTAAGATTTAATTTAAAAAAATTAAATGTCACACCTTTTTGATTACCGAGGTTGGTGCTATCTCCCCACCAAAATTTAATATTAAAGTACCTAAAAATATTTCATCATCTGTGGAAAGTTCAAATGTGGCTTCAGACTTTCAGAAAGTGGATTCTACACTGAGTTTTGCAAAGTTGGGCTATGCCTGCATTAGGAGCACTTTCCTGGAAAAGGACGACTGCTGTATCGTACCAGTAAAGTGCCCCTAGAGTGGATGCAGAGATACTGGAAAAGCTGTGCTTTGACTGATACAGCAAAACTACTCCCTGGGGAAAAAAAAAGGTGCATGGGCAAAAACACAGGTATGCTGGTGTAACTGCATCAAAACCAGGAGTTCCTGCATGCACAGCTGTATCCATCAGGCATCACAACTTTTCACACTCTTGACTTGCCAACATAGTTTTGCCTGTTAGGAATGTGCAAAGAGGTTATCCCTGACAGACATAACCATGCTGGCAGAAGTCATCATCGTAAAATCTTATCCAAATTATAGAATAAGCCTTCCTTGCCTATCTATTATTGGTTGAAACTTCCAGATCTGTTCAGACTGCCTAGCATACACAATATACCTATTTGCAGGTAGCTGGGCAGAGCTGCCACCTAAGTACATATCCAGGATCTCAGACATGATTGTGCTTGCACAGATAGCTTGATAGCTTGTGCTATTTTTAGCATACTAACTTGATCAGAACTGGCAGATTTACCATATTTACACCTCCCAGCTGCTATGTAGCTGAACCTAGGAATTCTTTGCTCTTTTCCCAATACTTTCAGGTGGTTCTTAGGCTTCTGGTTTATGCCATGGACCTTGACAGCTCTTTTCCATTTCTGATTTCTGTGGTACCCAGCTATACTGCAATTGTTAGCTGGACAAGTCTGTTAGAATGATCATCAGTGAATTAGTTAACAATGGATATGTCTACACTGGGATTAAAAACCTCAGATGGTCTGTGTCAGCTGACTCAAGCTCAGGCTTCAGGGCTGAAAAATTGCTGTGTAGATATTTGGGCTCCAGCCCAAGCCCTAACATCATCACAGCAATTTTTAGTCCTGCAGCCTGAGCCTAAGTCAGCTGACTCGGGTCAGCCATGAATATGCCACGGGGCTTTTATTCCACCATAGATGTACCAAATGCTGACATTTACCCAGTCATTGCCAGGCCTCAGAATTACTACTGTATTGAGAGGAATGAGTGATAATACCTTTCATGGTGCCTCTTTACTGGGAAAAAAGGTATGTTCTTAATTCGTGTTATCTAATACTTGGGGGAACACCCAGGAAAGTTAATTAACTAATTTAATCTGGGAATTTAAAGTGAATTTGGAAAATCACATTAAATTCTTGTGTGGAAATTCCATTCAGCATTAAGGTGAGCTTCAGTTGGTTTAATATTTAGTGAATTATGCTAAACCAAATTAAGGCTGTTTTAATTCTGGTAAAACAAAATACTTTTTTTGTAGCTGCAGGCTTTTTCACAGACTGCTTAAATTGAATGTCCTTCCTGACTCACACAATCCATGGATCACTTAATATAGGATAAACTCAGATTTGTTTCCCTAAATTGTTGTATATAAGATTAGATGAGGACACAAGGACTAGTGTTTTTTTGAAGTTGTGTTGCATCCCATTCTACCATATTGTCATACTAAGGAGCATGTCCAGCATAACTGTTAGTTTTCTCTAGGGGGGCCCATAAGCCAGATGTCATAGATGTAATGGCAAAATTCCATCAGCAAATTTTCACAGTACCTCCCTGTACTAGAACTGATTCAAGCCAATGCCAAGCACTGTCATTTTGGGGTCCATTTTCAAATGTAAATATAAAACAACTAGCCAATTAGACCATCATAAAAAGGGATTTTCAGGTCTCTCCTCCATGTTTGTCTTCTCTCCTGAGTCTCTGGTCTCTCGCTCCGTCTCTCTCTCTCTCCCCTACTATCTCCCCCTCTCTCTCAGCTCTCCTCTTCCTCCTGCCTATCTCTCTGTCTCTCTCCTTCTCGTCTTCTCCCCCTCCTGCCTCTCACTCAGGGGACCACGGAGCCCAAACGGTTGCTTATGCCACTTGCTCCCACGTGGCAGCCTGGCTGAGCGACACAGAAGTCAGCCAAGCACCACGGCGGGAGGTGAAGGGAGGCAGAGTGGTGACGTTCACGGCCAGGGGGCGGGGCCTGGAGCTGCTGTCACGCCGCATGTCACCGCCCTGCCCCCCTTCGCCTCCCTCCATGGCACTTGGCTGACTTCTGCACCGCTCAGCCGGGCCACCGCACGGGAGCAAGTGATGCAAGTGGCCGTTTGGGCCCCATGCTTCCCAAGCAGCATGGGGGTGATGCATGAGGAGCATGGACCCCAAACGGCCGCTTGTGCCACTTGCTCCCGCATGGCAGCCCGAATGAGCAGTGCAGAAAATATGACCCCGTTTTCTAGGAATGTGAATGGTTAACTGGCTAACCACTTAACAGCAGCTGAATCGGGGATGCCTGCAAGAGAGCAGCTGGGGTGCTGCCGGGTTGGTCCCGCAGCGCCGAGTGGCGGCGCTACAGGACCAACCCAGCAGCACTC